AAAGTTCTGAAAACTTTCATAATACACTTCAGGCTTTAGTGAGGCTGTTTTGGATCCTTCAGTTCTGGTTTTAATCTTGCAATTTAACATATTTGCTGCTTTTAAGCAATACAAGCTCCTGCTTATAATAAAAAAAATCCCTGCAGCTCTTTGTGTTCGACTTTGAAAACCCTCTCATAGACTGGAACCACTTTTAATGTCTTAAGCTAAATTGTATCAAATCTAAAAACATACTAATATTGGCATTAAAAGGGAGAGGGAATCTCAGAAAACTATGTGCATGCTACGTGTATATTCTGAGATTTTTCTGAATGCCTTTGTTTTTACACTGTGTCTTGTATTTTGTAAGTGAAAAAGGACTTACAGCACATTTACCAATGAAACTTGCTGTTTAGTGCTCTTGGATTGTCTTAACAAGGCCCTTATGTTTTGGGATTTTTTTTCTCTTTCAGTGGGACTTGGTTTCTTAGATTCTCAGCTAGTAAAAAATTGGATTTAATTTCATAAGTCATGTCTCTTCTGAAGATATTTCTCCAAGTCTTAAAGACTATTTTGGGTGCATGGTAGAAAATTACTTTAAATTATTGTGGTTGATGTCAAATTAAGATGTTTATATATAGGAAGCTTATCGCTTTGTCAAATATGTATCTCTAATTTTGCCTTTTTGTTCTACTTTGCTTTTTTTTTGGCCATTTTGGGGAATTGGAAATGAATGAAAACACTGAAGTAACTTTGCCAGTTATACACTTAGCAGGGTGTGTCGTCTTCACTGGAGACTGCATGTGTGCCAAGTCTGAAATTTTATTAGGATGTCTATTTTCTGAATAAATACCAAGGAAGATAAAAATACTGACCTACTCAAAACTGGGAGTGAGAACCCTTGTCCTAAACAAGACAAATATCTGAACTCTTTGGCCGGAAGCCAACACTTCTTTTTGAAGGAAATAGATAATTGGGCTGTACAAAGATTTCCGATGAACCAGAGTTAAATGACAGTTAATCAGCTTGACTTAATTAGCCTCCAGAACTGTGTTTTATGTAAGGTCTTGGAGATCAGGAGTTGTGTGGAGACTTCTTGGCCAGAAGGGATCCATTTCAGTAAACTAGAAGATCTCCTGAAGTCAGGCTGATGAAGGTGCTTTTTTGGGATGAAGTAGAACCTTGGTGCAGTCAGACACAGAGTAACAGTGATTGACAATTTGCCAATGATTCAACTGTGTGGTCAGTGGTGACTTGGTTCAGAAATGCCTCTGGGAGATGTTTTCAGCCATGGAGATTGTTGGAGGTGGATTTTTCAGAAAGGTAAATTGTGACAATTCCACATATGAATAACTATACCCACAAACTGTACAGGAAGAGACCTGGGCTTATATGGGTGAGACAGCTGCACTTGAGAGAGCTTTGCCTGGGTTGTTGCATCCCTGGGCTGGAGTTTGTCTGCTCTATAAAATACCTTTCCATGCCATGTGTGTTGGGTTATACATGTGTGTGCTGCTGCACATCTTCTGCACTGCAGAGCTGTTGCTACTCTCCCTCTCTCAACTCCAGAAAGCCTTTCCATCATTTATTCATTTGTGAGGCTCAAGTTACAAGCTTCTTAAAAAGAAAACAGGGGTTTTTTTTCTCCCTTATAGAAGAATTTGTTCCTTCTGACTTGTTTTGGGTGGGTTGGGTTTTTCAGAGTGCTGGATTTCTCATGGCACACTTCTACTCATCAAAGGGTATCTCCTTCCCAGGGTGTCAGTTTTCAAGTCTGCCAACTTTAAAGTTTTTCTTAAGATCCAAGCAGGCATTTCAAAGTGATTTAAGGATGCAAAAAGTACTCCCTCAATACATTTGAAAGGTTCTAAAATTTAATCCCTTAATCAGTTTGTTGCAGTTTTCCATATATTGCAAATCTTTATGCCAAATGCTTCATTTCATGATAACAAAGGGCTGTGTGCTGATAAAAAGAAGGCAAAGCTGACTTTGGGAGAGGATGCCTCTTAGTCAGTCTAGTTCTGTTTGGGCACTGAATGAGAAATCCAATACCTGCACTACTTGCACCATGCAGTAATTAAATACTCAGCAAGCAGCTGCTTCAGTCTCTGAATAAATGCTTTATACAGGCTTAATTTTAACCATTTTAATCAGCTCACGTCTAGATGATTTCTACTGCCATTTTAATTCCTCTTTAACATGGGCAACTTTTGCATGCAAAGAGGACCTAATTCTTCAGTCTTTTGTGGTTTGCTGTGTTCTGTGTCTGCACACGTCTGTCCTTGTAGCTGACAACAGGCATCAAAACTTCTTCATAGCTCTCTCCTGGGTGATACTGAACTGCCAATGGGAGCTTTGCTGCCAGCTTATGACACCTAGAGTTTTATATAAAATTCATCTTAAAATGTAACATGTACTCTTTACTAACATTTGATATAACTGATGTTTTATGAATCCTTGTGCTTCGTTCTTCAGATACTGCTGGGTGTACAGTAAAGTTTCTAAGAATACATATGTATATATAAAGTTTCTTTTACTTACACAACCTGTGTTTATATAACAAGCTGTTTTTATTAAAGTTCTCTGCAAAGTTTCTCAGTCTTTAGGAGAATCAAATGCTGGCAGAACTTGTGATCAGCTGTTTTGACTTTTACTGAAAAGATGGTGTAATGACTCGCTCTGTGCAAGGAATTGGATGAACTTTCTCACAAAGTATATTTAACTTGAAACAGCCTGTTCTTGTGTGACTAACTCTTCTGGACCAAATTATTTTTTTTTATGTTGAACTAGAGTTAGTTTGACCTCAAACTTCTTACTCACAAATGTAATTTAGCATTTTGCTGCTCCTTCCCTGTGCTGCTGGGAGGATTACATCAGTTATAAAATAAAACATGACTAGTTATATTTTTGTTGCCTTGCATGACTTCAAAACTGGGGAAAAAAAAGCCACAAATACAACTTCTTAAACTTTTTCTATTTATTAGTTTAGACTCTCCATAAAAATTCAAGTCCTGCTTGTAAAAAGTTAAAAAATACTGATGTGTTTTTCTTCTTCAGATAATGTCTCCTACGGCATTGTTTTTGGCTGCAAAAGTGGAAGAACAGCCACGGAAACTTGAACATGTTATTAAAGTAGCAAATGCCTGTCTTCATCCTCAAGAGCCACAACTGGATACAAAGAGTGATGTAGGTGGAAGTCATGGTTTTAAAGATGATCAGATGACACTTCATCTTATGATCTGTGACACTGTCTCACTGGATTATTGCTGTCTGCAGTCTAGGAAAAAACCTTTTGTTTGTACACCATTTAAGTCTTTTGTATTACTTAATGCAGCATAATTAAAGACTGGTATTTGTTGTGAAACTTGAAGAGATTGCTCCATCTTGAAATTGCATTATTTTTAAGGCTTCCACACCTAGAGTAGAAGATTGGATGTTTAAATAAGAGGTTTCATATGTGGTTCCCTGAGTGACACAGTTTGTGCAGAGCTCTGAGTTCAGGACACTGTCTCTCAGGCAGAGGTTCACTGTGCCCTCTTGGCTACATGTGATATAGTTGTCAGCTGCTGCCTCTGCTGTGCATTGCTACTCCTTTCATTTGCCAAAGTTTGTACAGCTTCCACTTACTTTAGAGTTCACATTATCTTTCCTGAGCCACAGGTCAGCTGAGCATCTCCAGCTGTATTTTTAAAGTACTTGTAAGATGAATAACCTGCCCAGAGATACTCAAGTTGACTTGCACTGGGAAGCCTTTGTAATTCTCACCCTGTTGTGAATTGTCAGTTCTAACTGATGCTCTGGTGTTTCAAACAGGCAGCGTGTGATTGAAATTCTCGCACAAGGGATTGCTGCTCTTCACCTGTTTGCTTCTCTGTTTCAGGCTTACCTTCAACAAGCCCAAGAGCTGGTTATACTTGAAACAATAATGCTTCAAACTTTAGGTATGTCCTAAATATCTCCTGTGCAACCAACTTACTATGAAGGAGTAATGGGACCCGAGTAACTGGATTTTTGATGTGTTCTTGATACATTAGAATTTTACTGTTTTCGTGTATAACTTCTGACCTGCGAATTTAGTTTTGTATCAGCAGTTCTGCTGTGTTCACTTTGGAGAAAAAAAGGGGCATCTGTACTTAGGAAATAGATTTTCTGACAGTTTGAGTTAGAAATGTGTAGGCTTCCAAGTAGATTTTACTCTGAAGAAGTGATTACATTGATATTTCTTTGTGTAAGTTAACACATTACTCTGGGTTAGCAGTGTGTTAATCCTGAAACAACCCATTTAATGGTTCAGATGATTCCCAAATTTGAAATGGAATGTTCTGCTAAGAAATTCTTCTGACTTTAGAATACCTTAGAGACAATTCCTGCTAGCAGACCTGAGAACACAGACTTGCTCAGATATTCTTAAATACCACTTGGAGTATATTGTTTTTAAAAAAATAGCTCACAGTAGTGACCTAATTCTTCAGATAGTTTCATAAACAAAGAAGGGTTTTCTAAGTTACTAACCTACAAATTGACTTAATTTGTAATTTCTTAGCTGCAAATGGTTTTAAGTCCTAGAAATCAATAAAGTGCATGTGCACAACCACACGTCTGCATTGCAGTTTTTACTGACTTATTAATGTGCTAGAAACTATTCAGATATGTTCAACCTTCCCAGGTTATGTACGTGTGTATATATATATATGTATATATATATATATAGGCATTGAGTTATTTTCCTAATGGATCATGAAGTAGCTATACCATCTGCCATTCAAAAGTATGAAAAGGTGCAGAGTCAAAGGCAGTTAAATCCTGGTACTTGTTCTGCAGTACAAAAGTTTAGTATTTTAGGTCTGTGGAGAAGCATAAGGGGTTTGGGTTTTTATTTTACAGATGCAAATGTATAATTCTAAAATGTATTTGTAACTCTTCAGGTTTTGAGATTACCATTGAACATCCACACACAGATGTTGTGAAATGTACACAGTTAGTGAGAGGTCAGTGACTTTTAACCACTTCTGTAAGTCCTTTTTTACTTTTCTAGTAAAATTTTAAAGTGATGTTATTTGTGTAATGTGATCTTCACCAACTGTGTTATCCAAAGAGTATGTTTAAAGCTAGTTACTAAAAGCTTGATCTTAACCTTTAGAGATTAAGATAAAGAGTCCAGTCCTCTATCCTTCATAACTTTTTTGTCTTCTTGTAAGATTTGATTTTAACAATACCTGTTCCACGTGTTCTCAAGGGACAGAAGCAGTCAGTAGTTGAGAAGTGGTTGGCCAGCTGCTTACTATTGTTCTGAGCTGATTATTTTCACTCTGAAGTTGTTCTACCAAGTGAAGTTTAGGCTGCCTGTTGGCTGATGGCTGATGGTAGTTTTTTTGTCTTAGCGAATCTTTTTAGGTAATGAACTGAGGGGTAAAGAGAGTGCATGGCAAGTCTGCTGTCACATGCAAATACTTAGAAATGTGACTAATTGTTTTTCTGGAGCCTGGTGTACTTGTTTTGGATGGTAGCACAAAACCCCAAACCTTTGGTTAAACATATCTAACTTGTATGCAGCTTAATGTGACTGGCAAGAAACCTCTTTTTTCTTTAATATTTTTGTGGCTTTTCGGCACACCTTCTTTAATTCTTAAATTGGTTTCCTTTGGAGCTTTAAAAAAAAAAAATTTAAAAATCCTCTCATAAGATAGAGGATGAAAAAAAATCAGGAATCAGTTGTAAAAACACCTAAAATAAGCTTTTCACTTTAATTATGTTCCTTAAGTAAAAAGTGTCTGGAAATGATTAGACCATGGCTTTTAGTGTTTAGTGCTTGGCTGGTTTTGCAGTGAAAAATGCAAAGTTAAGTGCTCCAAAGTTTTTGGTGGGTTTTTTTTCCTTCTATAAAATATACAAAAGTTAGTTACAACTTAATAATGTTAACCAGGTTTGTTTGTAACTCTGGAATTAATGGTGTTCTTTGAAGAGAGAGTATCTCCTATTTTCAAGTAACTTAGTGGTGCAGTGTCTTCAGAGTCTGAGTAGGGCTGGTGCTGTAATTTATTTGCATATAAAGTACCTTTATTGCTGTTCTTGCTATAGGATAATGATTCTCTGCTTTCTGTCCAGATTTGGCTGTGACTTGGTGCATGGGTGTCATTACACCTAAAGCTGCATCAGCAGCTCTGTAGGGTTTGGCTTTGGGTTTTCTTGGTCAGCATAAACGTGGGCACATTTCAGTGTTTTGTGGGAGCCTCTGTGCTTCTGCTCAGTGTGTGGGGTGTGGGCAGGGGTGAAGGCAATGTTGTCCTGCCTCAGATTTCCACATTAGTGAGTGTGTTTGACTGGAGCCTACAAGAAGGAAGGCACACGCCTACACAAACTGTGTTTCCTTTAGTCAAGGATATATACCACACTGATAGTTCAGCTCTTCTCTTTGTGTTTTGTGCTAATCTTTTATACTGACAAAATTCATACTTTGAAGGTACTGCTAATTTTTTAATTTGACATAGTAAAGCTAGTAATTAATGTCAGCAGACTTGAAAAAAATGCTTAGAATTCTAAAATTATATCAAGTCTTGAAATCTGAAGACTTCAGTGAGGGCTGAAAGTCCCTGTGCCTAAAGGAGTGATGCAAAGGGAATGTAATTTGTCTGATCCTTGAAAACCTACTCACTGAAGTAGCTGTGCTCCTTAGTGTGTGTGTGTGTATGCAGGTGGAATCCTTGGCAGCACATGCCCTTCCTTTGAATGGTGTATGTTGAGAACACAAGGCTTAAGGACCTAATATTTAAAAAAAAAAAAAGGAAGCAAATGAATAAATTAATTTAAAACATCAAGCATGAAGTCTGCAGTCAGGCATGCAAGTCAGGCAAGGACAGAATAATTGCTTTCTCTTATGTATTGACAGAACAGAGATGGGCTTGTGGGCACAGTGATGTATCTTCAAAGACACAGTGGTGTGAGTTTAGTTCTCTATCCATGAGATAGTTATTATTGGGCAGTGTGGGGTTTTAATGTCAGTAGATGCAACACTCAGATATTTAAGTCCTGAAGCTTTCAATACCTAAGACTTGTCAATGTTAAACCGTTAGTGCCAAAGGGATTGACTGAGAAGTTAAAGAAAGCCAAGGTTACTTCTTCCAGTTCTGGTAACGTCACCTTGGACAAAAAACACCATTTCAGAGTGCAGAGATACCCTTTTTTATTAAAGGTGATTAACTTATCCGAGACCATTGTGATTAAAACCTCTAACTGCATGTTTGGGGAGAGAAGGGAGGGAGAAATGTGATGTGGCTGATGTGCCTCTGTTTATCAAAACAGAGGCAGCAAAGTTAGCTGAGGTATGGGAATGGACTTGGGGTGTGTGCACTGCATTGCCATGTGGTGAGAAGGTGCCCTTTTGCTGCCTAAACTGCAGTGCCTCAGAGGATGGCTGATTCTCTGTATCACTTTTTGTTGTCTTGCATCCAGGGTAGTGTGTTTTATGCTGTCAGTGTCACCTGTATTAACCTTTAAGCTACTCCCTTTTAAAAACAAAATGAAAAACATTAAAATAGAACCCAGATTCTATTGTTCATGCTCAAAAGGTTCAGCCAAGTCCTTTGTCAGAAGACTCTAGTCTGGTAGTGGCACACCAGAGGTAATTGCTGGAAGCTGAAGATGAACTAGGAAGTTGGAATAGGTGCAAATAAACATAATTGCTTCAACACACAACTAAAGAAAAAGTTGAGTTCTTCTCTAAGATTGAAAGCCTTTTTGAAGGCAGTGTTAGACAGCAGGGGTCATTGTAGATAAGTAGTGACTGGATGGATACTGGATGGATACTGGATGGATAAATAATGACTCATGATGTTCAGGCATATGGTATCCAGTTATTCCTTCTGGTGTTCAGAGACTCCTGGGTTAATGAAATTGTTCCACCTTTACAGTTTGGTCAGTAGAGCAGACGAGGAAAATGGTGTGGGCTTAGTCTTTTTTCTGCACCATTCTTCCTCAGTGTCAAGAGACTGAGAAGAGGAGACAGGACCATCATTCCTTAGGATCCCACAGGTCCTTTAAGGAATCTGAAGACAGTGGATCTGTGAGGGCCTGTCAGCAAGCCTCAGTGCCCATTCCAAGAATTCTCCAGTACTGAAGAGAAGGAAAGAGGAAAAAAACCCACTAAAACAACAAAACCAGTTTTGTTGTCTGTCTCCCTTGCTGGCTTCAGTGCTGGCTGAATGATCAGCAGTGAAGCTGCCCTTATGCCAAGACTATGACATGGTCCTCTTAAGCTCTGGTGCAGAATCAGTCTGTTCTCAGCCTGCTTCTGGTGAAACTTGAAGGGGAGGAATCTGTATCCTCATCTCCATCTTGGGAAGTCTTCAGTCATTCCTTTTTCTGTGTTGGAACACAACCTTTTGGAACTGAAGATGGGATCTCAAGGATTTCTAGGATTGTTCTCGCTACTCTGCAGGTTATCAGGTACCTTGAACACCCGTGATCCTTACTAATCTTTTGTGGAAATTGCACTGTCAAATCCTTCAAATATGCCATAGTATCTGTGTGCACAGGTACCATTGCTTAAATCAGGCTGAGAAAGACAAGGTCAGCAGAAGAGGAGGTGAAAATGCATCAGCTTTTTCAGAGGGTATTCACATGAGGAAAATTTAAGTCTTAGTGTACTAAGTGGTGTGGAAAGATCTGAAACCCCAGCTGCACTCCAGCACTGCTGCAGGTGGCCTTCACATGCTGAACTTTGACCTCAGGCTTTTACAAGCCTGTTCCCAGAGTTTTAGTACTTTCAAGAAAGTAAAGCCACCAGGACTGCTCAGCCCTAAATGCCTACACCATGGCCTGCTCCAGCCCTTTCCAGATACAGCAGGCATCCACCAGCAGACCTCTGTTCAGAGCCTGGGGCTCTTTTCCTTTGGCCAGAAGGACTTCAGCAAGCTCCTCTCTCCTGATGCTGACTGGCTTATCTGCCATCTCCTCTTTCTGGGGAACGCTTCCAAACGTTGGCAGGGTCCAGGCATAGCCACCTACCACCCTCCTAAGGGGGACTTGGCAGTCACGTTTTCATGAGTATCCCGAGATCCAAGATAAGCTGTGTTGAAGAAAAGACTCAGATATCTTGGAATTGTAACCATTGTGTGGCTCTGCCCAGTAAAAAGCATTTTGGTTTCCAGTTGGCAGTTTCTTGGAGATGGCCTTTTGGAAGGTATATTGGACAGCAAGTCCTGTTCCAAAATATTGATTCCAACTTCAGTGATACCCTGCCTTATGGTTGCTTCTGTAGCAGTGGGACAGGGTGGATGTTTCAAATCCCTCTGAACTGCTGAAATCCCAAGCTGGTCATTGCTGGCTGGTATTGTAGCCATCGGTCCAGTGGCTTGTGAGTTTTAAGAGCAGCTCTGCTGGCTTGTTTGAGCCTCTGCTTCAAGATGATTGGAATTTGGAGATGCACTTTTCACTACTATAATGGAAGTAAAACATGAAAATATAGGAACCAAAATTCATTAGCTTTAATTTCTGTGATGGATTCTGCTAAAGCAAAGCTGTCCTAAATAGAAGAGTTTGGGAGGGGTGTTTTCAGTTGTGCCTTGTGTTATCAAAGGCTTCAGCTGTGAGCTGAAATTTATTGTTTGGTTTGCAAATGATAGTTATTTAGCTGTAAATAAGTTGAAACAGTATCATACTACTTGTAGTATAGGTAAGGTATTTAGCACATTAACTTTGATTGGGGCCAAAATGTGTGTTTCAAGATATGATTCTTTTCTTCCAGGTATGTGTTTTGATTTACTCAACTTCCAAGCTGATGTTAAATAGAAGTTTTCTGGCATCTGCTTTTCTTCCTTGTTCAAAAGGGACATTTCAGTAGAGATGCTTCTTGGTCCCAGTCCCTTAATTCAAACATGTAACTTTACAGAGTGTATAAATCATTGAAGCTCCTTTAGACATTGCTTTAATGAAAAATGAAGAGCAAGACATCAATTTGAGTCTCACTGAACCACTGTGTATTTTCATTTGTTTTGTTATGACAGTGTCATTTCACTTTTTCTTTTTTTGGTAATTCCACCTTACATTTCTTTAGTTGGGAGGGAGAGGAAGAGGTTATTTAGTATGCAATTACCATTATAGTTTGCAAACTAAATATTATAGTATAACACATTGTCAGTTCACCTTCTGATTATTATGGATCAGTAGAATTTGTGTGTGGGAACAGATCCTGTTACCTTGCTACTTCCCCATTCTTCTGCCTGGCTGTTTAGCGTAAAGACAAGTCTGATTTGTACTCCCTGGCAACATTAGAAGTTGAGTTAAATCACATTTTATTATTATGCTATTTAAAAATTAAAATTTAAAAGCTGCTGTAGTATTTCTCAAACTTTATGGAAATATTATTATTAAAATAAAAGCTTAACGATGTTCCCTTTGACATAAAATTCAACACTACACTCTCTGCAGGTAGCACTGATTTCAAGTGATAGTGTCAAAGTAAGACTTGAATGAAGGCTGCATTCAATCTGCCTTGTGCCCAGCTATCCCATTAATGCATGTTACAGTAAGTTCTCTTACCTGAGTGAGCAGTTGGGGTGTCACTGCAGGGGTCAGCACTATGTGGCTGTAACAGCCTGAGTTAACAGCTGTTAACAGCTTTTCATTTCTGGCATGTTGCAGTCCTGTGTTTTGGTTTGGTTTTTTCCTGACTAACTAAAATGAAGTTTGTTTTCTATTGAAGCTTTGCCATAGGTTTAAGAAATGTGGAGCAAAGAGTTCTGAGCACAGTGCTCTTAATTAGAAGGAGCAGAAAACTGATTTTTTGTTTTGTTTTTTTTACCCTCTAGCTTGGGGACTTGTGGTGTTGTACAGCTTTGGGAGAGAGACATTGCTCTGGTTTTGGGGAGGTTTGGGGGGTGGGAGGGGTGTCCTGCTATGCTCCTCTTCAAGAGCAGGATGTGCACTGTGCTGTGAATGCACTGTGCTGTGAATGGGCTGTGACTGATCTGTCCTGCAGCCCAGGGAATGGCAGGGATCACCTAGAGGTGAGGGTTGGGAAGCAGCGCTTCCCAGAGGAGAGTGCTCTCATCTTTGAGGCATCAGAGGGGTTGGATCAGCAGAGAGAAGCTGTTCTGTGAGTTGTACAGAGGGAGGGGCAGTGAATGGAAGGACTGGTCCAGCTCCAGTACCGAATGTAAGGGCCTCTTCTGTGTCTCAGAAAAGATTATTTTGAAGGCTAGTTAGCCAGATTCAGATCAGTTCTGTAGCAATACCCAGCAGTGATTTTGGAAGATAAAACTGCTCTAATTTTGGAATGAACCTGATGAGTTTGTGCCGATCTTTAATCTCCCTGTTTTTCTTTTCTTACAGCAAGCAAGGATTTGGCACAGACATCCTATTTCATGGCTACCAACAGGTTGTTATCCTGAACCTCTTTGTTGCACTGTTGTAGCACACTATAGCTTCCTTTACTGCAGGGCCCCCTCCATGTGTCTTACCCTTGTTGCAGCGGGAGACTGGGCCATCTCCAGTGGTGGTTCCTTCCCGCCTGCAGTGCGGTGTATTGGACAAGGGCCTCGTGGCACAAAGGGGTTAAATGCACAATGAGAAGTGTAGTGGTGCTTTCTGATGACATTTTCTCGATTGTGAGTGCATAAATCTAAAATTGGTAGCCTGAATAGCAGCTAAAGATTACAAAGAGATAAACTTAACCTAGAAATCCGAGCATCTTGGTAAGTACAAAACTATTTTTAGTTTACACTTGTAGTTAATGGCAGTTTTCTCTTAACTTTAAATATATTGATCCAGTCTTAACTTAAAAACTGTAGTGGGCCTAAGTTCTTATCAGCTGGTTTATTTTCCTTTTTAGATAGACTAGTACAAGCCCAATGTTTTTCCTTTTAAAAACAGCTCTTTAATCTTAATATACAGTTTTAAAACTTAAGTACTTAGATAAATGTAAGTTCCAGGATTACAGATGGGTATTGTGTATACATAGCCTGTCACAGAAAGAACTAGAGAGCAGACTTCACTCTTGATTTCTTGATTACTTCAACTTCTTGCCAAACAACTTGAAGCTTTATTTAAGAGGATTACATTACATGTACTTAGTTTTTGGGCAATATCTGCTGGTTATTAGAACTGTACAAAATAAATCAATCAATACTTTTGGTTCCTTGATGGGCAAGATTCTGTACTTAAGCATCTGTTAAGTTGTGCTAAAGCAGTGAAACTGAGCCAATGTATTTTGTGCTGCTGCCAGCTGGAAGCTGAAGACAAGTTCACAAATGTCACAAATCCAGGCCTATGAAAGCCAAGGCCACCAGTAATTCACCTGGTTCTGTGGAACTGCTGGGGACCTTCTGATTGTCTCATTCAGAGACTGCAGAATCAGCTGTATACTTTTTACTGTGGAGTTTTAATTGACCATATTATACTTCTTTCTTTTTAGTACTGAAGTACAGTAGAATAACTGTTAAATTTATTTACTGTTCATCAGACTTTTGATAGCAAAAGCAAATTAAACTTTTCTGCCAGATAAATGCCCTGCCCTTTGTTTTCTTAGGGCAGTAAGATATCTTATGAACTTATTTAGCAAAATGTTTAACTGCTGTTGCTTGATGAGTTACCTCATTCTATCTGTTAATGGTTGATTTGTTTGGGTTTTCTGTTTTTCATGTTTGATTTCCTTTGGTTCCTCACTACGAAATTTGTGCAACAGTCTTCACCTTACTACGTTCTGTCTTCAGTACAAGCCCACAGTGATAGCATGTGTGTGCATTCACTTGGCCTGCAAGTGGTCCAACTGGGAGATTCCAGTGTCAACCGATGGGAAACACTGGTGGGAATATGTAGATCCTTCAGTTACTCTAGAACTGCTGGATGGTAAGTGATACTGCCTTTCACATCTGGAAACTCAACTCAAGGGTTTATTATTCCAGAGATATGCAAGGATTGGGAACATATTATACAGTAAGAGCTTTAAGCCTAAATTAAGTCTCGCTGACTTCATGTACCATATTGTCAGGGGAAAGAAAGGGATAGGAAAGGGGAGAACTTTGGAAGACAAACTTAGGTTTGAGACCTTTAGTTTGAAGGGGCATCCTTTTGTAGGTGCAGGTCAGAATCTTGGATTTAAATATTTTTCAGAACCAAGAATGATGGAAATGTACCAGTGCAAATTCCTGCAGTCCTGGTACTGCACTGGAGCAGAACAGTCGTTTCAGTCACAGTGTTCATAGGGGTGTACATAAAACCACTGTGTTCACAAGGGTAGTTCTGCATTAACAATTTGGCATCACTTGTGGTATCCCAAATGCCTGTAAAATAGTTTTTTCTTGTCAAAAGGCTTTTCCTGAAGAAAGCAAACACCCAGAACTCCACATACCTGGGAGTTTACTGTCTTTTGAAATAGCACCTATTGCAGAGCAGTCTGGATTTAAGGCCCACATATGCTGCTGGAGTGGGAGTGGGAGCTTCTGAGGCTTTCAGATCTATGTGGACTTTGTTGATCCTGGAGTGAAATGTGCAATTTGGAGTAGTGGTGGAGGTCTTCAGGCTTCCCATGGCCTGCTACTTTCCTCTGCTGAGCTTTTCTTTCTTAATGGCAATTTTCGGGTTTTTTTGTAAGTGAGAAATTGAGTAGATGTCATGTGAAGCACAGAACTGGAGTGAACTTCAGAGTGCAGGTTCAAACATCTCTGTCTTAATGGGAATCTTTAAGTTGTATCTAGTTCCAAACACCATCCTGCTTCCTTCCTACCTGACTGTGGGTTTGTGGATGTGAAGGGAATGCTGTGAGTTCATTGTGAACTTGGCTCTATTCTTCAGGCATTTATGGAGCTGGTATGTTTGATGGACTCAGGCAGGCCAAAGGCCTGAGGCAGTTGTGCACTTGGGAGCAGCTTAGTTTATAATTTGTTTGTGGAGTTCTGGAGAAGCCAGTTCTTCCAGACCTGCATTCAAATTCTGACTGTACTTAATTATTTTTAGCTTAGGAGTAAAATTAAATTTCAGTGGAAAGTATTTTTATTTGCAGCTGACAGGCATGGGGACCTGTTCTTTCTAATTGCAAGGATCTTTGAGTTTTAACACAGCCAAGTGCTCTGCCTTGAACAGTTATTTCAAAGCTGTTCTTTACAACAGGGTGCTTCCAAGGGTCTGATGGTGATATTATGTTCGGAGCTGTTACTGGTTGTTCCTGAAATTTGTTGGAATGACTGAGACAGTGACTTAGAAACTTTAAAGGAAACTTAACTTCATACACAAAATCCCCAGGCTGAATGGCAAGTATATTATTTTAGGAGCTGTTGTTTGTATAGGTCCCTGTTGAAATTTTTGGTCTAACAAATCCAGGTTGTGCAAGAGTAAAAACAAAATGTAAAATTCAAACCTGTGTTTCAGAATGCTGTAGTGGTCAGAAGTCTGTTGCAGTGAAACACTGTAGCCTGTTTTGTTCAATGCTTACCTAACCATTTTTTAATAAAATATAAATTCGGATCCTGCACAGGCTGTAGCAACTACTGTAAAAGCTGTATGAACTCAGACTTGGAAAAATGCTTCAAGTTTTACCTGTTTATTACAGAATCAGATGTAAAAATGGCTTTTTTTTTTTCTATTCAGAGCTAACTCATGAGTTTCTGCAGATACTGGAGAAAACACCCAGCAGGCTCAAGAGAATTCGAAATTGGCGGGTAAGAAGTTTTCCTGTACCAGTGTCTGGCAAGAAGAGATGAACTTCTAGGAGAACTATGAACCAAAGTGAAAAGTTTATTTATATTGTATGTGCTGTTTATTCCTGTGGCTGGGTCAGGAGGAGGTGAAACTTTGAGTCAGCTTTTATCCTCACCTTACAGCTAAATTCCAATGGACTGTCTAAATATTCTAAGCTGTGTATTTTCTCACTTCTTTCTTTTTTGCTTAGGCAAATCAGGCAGCTAGGAAACCTAAAGGTGATGGACAGGTATCTGAGAACTCACTTCTTGGTTCATCTTTGGTCCAGAATTCCATTTTGGTGGATACAGTGACTGGTGTAGCTGCAAACACAAGTTTCCAAAAACCATC